GGCGAGAGCCCGGCGGTTGCACCGTGCACCGCATGGGTTGGCGGCGAGCGAGGGGGGGACGTGAGAAGGATCGGGCGAAGAGAACTACCCAGACATGCTCGCGTCGTGAAAAATCAGGACGGCACGTTTTTCACCATTTTCGGCCCCTGGGGGCCCTCGCCGGGCCCTGGGACCGCCAAAAAACGACTCAGGTTGAAAAACCGGCCCTGGGGAAAGGATCTGGACTTCCGGGGGCGCCGTCCTGAAAAAATCAGGACGTCGCATGTCTGGGTATGCACATGCACCAGTCTTGGCCAGGCACATCCTTGGCCCCAGGATCGGTGCATGTGCTTTCCTGGCCAAGGCAGGAGGGCGTATGCACCGATCTTGGGCTCAGGATGGACCTGGCCCAAATCGATGTATGTGCATGGTTCTTGTTCCTCGAAAGGAGGCCTCTCAGAAGGCGACGGCGCTTCTCAACAGCCCTCCGGCCTCCTGAGCAGTTCTTTGTCTCTCCGGACAAGGCTCAGACAGCTTCTCCGGAGGCCGGGGGAATTTCCGACCCTGCTGATCTGCACGAACGAAATAGGTACGGAAAGAACGGGTACAATGCCCAACATCAGTTCCTGTTCATTTTTAACAGGACTCGCTGTCCGCGCCGCCGCGGCCTGTGTCCATTTGCGACAGGAGGCCGCCTGCCCAACAGCGGCCGCTGTTGGTTTGGGACAGCATTTTTTGTTGGGCATTGTACCCATTCTTTCCGTGCCAATTTCGGGCGTCCAAAGCTGAGGAGGCCCGCCCCTTCTCACCTCCCCCCCCCGGGGCGCGCCGCCTTCCTGGTGCTGGCTGCCACTGTGCGCCGGCCTGGCCGCGGGTGCTCGGGCGCTCGGGGTCTCGTGCCCTCCGCGCGCTTCCTCGTGCCTCGAGTCGCGCCTCCGTGGCCTCACGTCGGGCCTGTCCCTCTGCAGGAGGCGTATTCGAGAGCAGTCAAAGACTAGTCAGGGGACGACTTTTTTGGATGACTTCTGGAGCATTCTTGAAGATTTTTGGGCTTCTCCTGATTTCTCGCCCAGCGCCCGCCTGGAGGAGGACATGCCCGACCTGGCCGCAGCCCAGCTGCCGCTTCGACCGCGGTCGGCTCGCCCCCCCCCGCCGCCCCGCCCAGGAAGTGCTCTCAGGCGGCCGCGGCCGAGCCGGCCTCTGCGCCGCCCAGGACGGCCCTGTGCCTCTGCCGGGCGGCTCGGCCCCGCTGCCGGGGACCCAGAGATCCGGCGCTCCAACAAAAGTGGGAGCGGCGGGCTTGGACCGTTCTCTGCCTCTGGGTGCCCTCGCCGGGGCCCATGGGACCGTCCAGAGGCGACTCCGGACGAGGCACCAGCCCTGGGGAAGTGGCCCGTCAGACCTCCAGGGCGGCCGCATCGAACAGACTGGAGCAGCCGGATGTCCGAGGACGCTCAGGGCTTGGAGCCTCCGCTGCGCCCGGCCAGGGGAGCTCTCACGCAGGCCGGCGCTGGGCCTCGTTGCCGTGCCATCTCCAGGCAGGTCTTGCGCGATGTCTGGGGCGTCCGCGGTCCTGCAGCCAGGTGACTCCGCCTCGGGCTAGGAGGGTGCGTGCCAGGAAGCGCCCTGCCATTCTCAAGACGCTCGGCAACTCTCTTCCCCAAGGCCTGTGACTGAGGGCCACGCCTCTCGGAACGAGGGGGCGGGAGGAGGGCAACTCCACGGGCACTTGCGCACGAACTAGTAGCGCCGAGACCTTACGTGCCATGCGCAACGAGATGACCGTCAGCGTTCATTCTTTTCTTCCAGCCGCGTGCCTTCTACGGGGCTTGTCTTTCGACCCACCATGCCCCAAGCAACCGCCGAACTACCAGGACAATGCCTGCATACCTCATTTGCGGCCGCAGTGGCACAGCATATCATATCCATGTGGTATTTTGCAACAGATCTTGTGTTCCACAGGGCGTAGGTTTTCCAGACCCTCGCCTCGAGCCCACTACTGGGTGCAGTCCCTGCCTTTCGCGCGCCCAGCGGCTCGAATCAGTCGACTCGGATGCGTAACAAACTGTTCCTTTTGTCTAGAAGCATAACAAGCACATCCAACCTGCTTCTTGACGCTTTCTGTGCCTCCCGTCTTGCGGCCTGCGGGGCGCAGGTTTGCAAACCGCGCCCCGCCTTAGCGACCGCCCGCCCACTCGCAAGGGCCCGCCCGTCCGCCTATGAGGGTCCGCCTGTCCTGGCCGCTCGTGTGGCTTGTGTACCGCCACCCTGCCCGCCCGTTCGGGTCCCTCCGCCCGCCCTGTTCGCTGGCCGTCGTGCTGGTAATGTGTGTGATGTTGACAATGGGGACGCGGATGTCGATAGTGAATTGTGACGATGGTGATGATGCCGATGGCAACAAGTGCTGCAGTTGTTTAGGAACCGTGGTGATGGAGGTGGCACGAATGACTACAACATGTCAGCTGCCTGGGGTGGACCAACCGCCGTGTCAGCAAATCATTGAAAATGATGCTGGTAGTTTTTTTTTTTTCAGAGGTTTGTAAGCATGCTCGGCGTAAACATCCTCGGGCCGTCTAGGAAGCGGATCTACGATGACGAAGCAAGGCGCAGCGGTAATGTTGCATGGTTGCCGCGTTGCGTTTATTTTTCGATTTCCCAAGATGCCAGTGATGATGCCGCCCCCTTTCCCAGCTGAGTCTGCTGCCGCTGCTCTTCCTCCTCCTTCTTCCTGTTCCCCCCCGGCCTCCGCTTGTGCTTTCCTGCGTCTGTGATGAACACTTCTGAGGCCTGGGCGACCAGTGGAGTGGGAGTACTATGGTGGCCCCCCCCCTCCTCTGGAGGGAGGGGGGCGAGGTGGGCCAGGAGAGAGGGTGGGCTTGTTGCCGAGGGGGCTGGAGGCGTGGGGTGGAGAGTGACTCGAAGGTGTCCGCGACGCGCAGGGGGCTCCCGTGGGGAGGTGCCCGTGAGTGCCTCCTCAGCCGCGTGCCGGCAGAGATCCCTTCCCCGCGGAGGCAGAGGTGCCCGGGGGCCGGCGGCGCTGGCTGGGGGAGCGTGCAGAACGGCCGCGGGTGCCTCCAGATGCGCCACGCACCACGGGCGCCCGTGTCCCCAGACGGGCATGCTGCCCTGTGTTTTCCGAGGAGGCGAGGGTGCCCCATATCTCGAGAAAGCAAAAACGCCATAACCATAAACTTTTGGCGCTGCGCGCGGATTTTTGGATCCGCGCTGGGTCCCCCTGGCGGCGCCTCTGGCGCCGCCCCTGGCGCGCGGAGCGCGCCAGGGAGGGGGTCCCAGCGCAGATACAAGAAATCCGAGTGGAGCGCCAAAAAATTATGTTTATGTGGTTTTTCTTCTTCTTATGCCGCTACCCTTCCCTGGTTTTCCCCTGTTTGGGCCTCCTGGGAGGCCCTAGTAGATGCCGCCGGATTCGCCTCCAAGTTCTGGTCAGAACGCACCCGGGGAGAGGTCCCAGGAGTAGCAGTACCGGTGCCTGTTTTTCCCAGGCTTTGCACGGAGGCGTCGCTTCAGAGACGAATGCGTAAACGCTTTGGCGGGCATAGCGGTCTAGCACACGGCAAGCGGCTGTCAGCGAGCTGTCTTGGGCCGACATGGGCCCGCCAAATGAATGCTCTGTAAAGGCTTCCGGCCTGCCTGCTTTGACAATTACACGAGCGCCCTGCAGTTTCGAGTATCAGGGATTTCGGGAAGAGGGACGGGCAGCTCCAAGAACCGGTCGTACTCCCCCAGCGTGCGCGACGCGACGCACAGAGCGCACCTCGGGCACGCGCGAGGTGCAGACCCCCTACGGCTGGGGCATCTGCGTCGCCGACGACGCGCAGCGGCCGCACCTGCAGGCTGGCCTTCCGCCTGCTGCGAGTGGGCTTCCCCGCAGCCGCCGCTGCCCACAGCGGGCCTGGGCAGTGCGCCTCTCCCCCCTTCTCTCATGGGGTTCCGAGAGGGACCCCAGGGAAAGGGACGTTTGAGACGGGCGCTGCCGATTCCTCAAGTCCGTTCGGCTTCGCCCACAAGGTCGCTGCGCGACGCTTTCGCTCGCACTTCTCGAGGTCTCAGATGCAACGCCGCGGTCTCAGAAGTCCCTTTCGCTGGCGTCCCCCCCAGGAAGCGTATCGTCCTCTCCCGGGGACCAGTCCCCCCCCGCCGCGGGAGGGGGAGTCCGCGCCCCCCGCCTGGGCTCAGCCTCTCCCGGCGAGAGGGGCCTGCAGGGCGCTGCGGCCTGAGAGCGATTGCAGTGCAGAAGTGGTGCAGCTTTCGTCGTGGTGGCCTTTGTTGCCGCCGTCGACACCTTCGTCGCCGCGGCTGGGCGCAGCCCGAACGACGGGCCTGGATGGAGCCCATGATGGTTCTGGGCATCGATTTTGTGCGGATCTTGGTCGAAGCCTTCCGGGGTTCCTGCGTATCTTGGTCGAAGCCTCCCGGGGTTCCGAGGCTCCATGATCGAGGTTTTGGGTTTTTTGGCGTTCCGGGGTCTCGGGGGGCTCCGCTGGTGGAAGCCAGCGGAAGCAAGCGATGCCCGCCCCCCAAGAGATGCCATCCTCAGGGGCAGCGATAGGAAGGGACAATCTCAGGGGGGGATGCATCGACCTCCAATCGCCCATTCATCACGGAGAGGGATCTGATAGCATACCCAGCCCAGGAATTTGCGTTTTCGTTATCGAGGGCCTACCGCCGACCAGTCGGCGATGTATCGCTGGTCCCAGGTCGATGTTTCTTCCCCTGAACCGTTCCCCGTTTTCGTTGGGTCGGGCGTGTCCTCCTGCAGGGATTTTGGACGAAACATTAAAAATAGTTAAACGAGGGTTTAAACAGGTTCAAACACATGTACTCAATGATCGCCCCAACATTTTTTTGTTTACCATTTTTGAATATTTCTCCTGTAGGGGGACACGCCCGACTTAACCCTATCGTCCCCCCTCACACCTTTTTGAATAGAGGCTATCTGGAGTGAGCCACATTTGCTCAGCGACTGACTTGGCAGTTCGGCCCTTGGCGCATGCGGCCCGATGCATGGGCTGATCCACGTCGTGCTGAAGGACTTCATCCTCAGCCGGTTCGGCGAGGGCACCTGGAGGTCTGTTCTGGGGGAGCTGCGCGTCACAGACGACGCCGCGGTCCTGGACCTCAAGCAGTATGACGACGCGATCTCTGTGGCCGCGGTTCATGCTGTAGTCAAGGTTCGGAGGTTGATAGACCTCCTACCTTGGCACGTCGATTAGCGAGTTGGCCGTTTTCGGTGCGCGAGAGGGCGTCGCGGCCGTCATTTTTGCGGGTCCTGGTTCGTCGGTTTCGGTCCGAGGTCGTTTCCACTAAACGGTGGTTTATTAAAGGGAGGTTTGTCCACCGCCGAAAGGTGCTGGCGACCACATGGGACGATGCTCTCAGGGCCCTGGGCGCCCATCTTGTCGAGTACACCTACACCGGAGGCCACCTTCGCATGCTGGAGAGCATGGGGGACAACCTGAAGGAGTTCCTGCGCAACCTGAACCACATGCACAACCACCTGGAGCGGAAGATGCGCGGGTCGATGTTCCCCTCGTTCCACATCTCGGCGGCGGGCGAGGGGAGGAGACGAGAAGGAGAGAGGACCTCCTCAGAAGGCGGCGGGACTTCTCGGAAGCCCTCGGGCCTAAAGATTTGTTTTTCTCTGTGTCTTCAGGGAAGGTTCAGAAAGCTCCTCAGAAAGCCGGGTGACTTTCGAGCCTTCTGAGCAGGTCCGCCACTTCTCACCTCCCCTCCGCGCTCGCCGCCAAACATCACCGACGAGGAAGAAGGCGGCTTGCGGCGATGATGATAATGATGATGATGATGATGTTGATGCTGATGATGATGCTGATGATGATGATGATGATGCCGATGAGGACGATTATGATGATGCTCATGATGATGACGATGATAATGATGGTGATGATGGTGGTGGTGATGATGATGAAGAGTAATAATACGAAGACGAATCATATTAGTAATAGTATGGAGAATAATAATAGGAATGCTACCGGAGAAAAAAACAATCATAATCTTTGCAGGGCTATAGGGCTTTGGGGTTATAGGGCTGTAGGGCCATAGGGCTATAGGTCTATAGGGCTACAAGCCTATAGGGGTATAGGGCTATGGGGCTGTAAGGCTCTGGGGCTATAGGGATATTAGGCTATAAGGCTATAGGTCTATAGGGCTACAGTATTATAGGGTTATAGGGCTAGAAGGCTATAGGGCTAGAGGGCTGTCAGGGCTATGGTTCTATAGGGCTATAGGGCCACAGGGCTATAACGCTATAGGGATATAGGGCTATAGTGCTATAGGGCTATAGGGCTACAGGGCGATAAGGCTATAGGACTATAGGGCTATAACGCCCCCGGGCCCCCCGGCCCCCGGGCACATGGGCACGCGGGCACCCGGGCACCCGGGCACCCGGACACCTGGGCACCCGTGCACCCGGGCACCCGGGCGGGCCGCGGAAATCGGTGGCAAACCTCACTTAACTATACGATACCAGAGAAAAGCTTCAATCATAGTCTTTTTAGGGCTACAGGGCTATGGGGCTACACGGCTGGAGGGCTATAGGGCTATAAGGCTCTGGGGCTATAGGGCTATAGGGTTATAGGGCTATAGGGCTATAGGGCGATAGGGCTGTAGGGCTATAGGGCTGTAGGGCTATAGGGCTATCGGTCTATAGGGCTACAAGGCTATCAGGCTATAGAGTTATAGGGCTACAGGGCTATAAGGCTACAGGGCTGTAGGGCTATAGGGCTACAAGGCAATTAGGGCTATCGGGCTACGGGGCTATAAGGCTATAGGTCTGAAAGATTATAGGGCACCCGGGCACCTGGGCACTCGGGCACCCGGGCACTCGGGCGTGCCGCCGAAATCGGCGCCAAACCTCACCGAACCATTTGAATCCGCTAGGACTCCTACAAAGACAAGCTCTGATTGGGGAATGAATCCGCTAGGACCCCTGCACAGGCAAGCTCTGATTGGGGAACTTCTCCCTGTAGTACCCCGAGGCCAGTTTTTAGGTCGGGCCGGGCGTTTCGCCTGAGACTTCCTCACCATTTATGATTCCAAATTGGCAACAGTTTCTTTCACTCATGGAGGGCGGGTGGTTTTCAAAATGTGGCTATCGCCTTAGCGCCGCGCATACTCGTTGTACATAGGGCTATAGGACCATCGGGCTACAGGGCTATAAGGCGACAAGGCTATACGGCTTTAGGGGTATAGAGCTCTGGGGATATAGGGCTATAGGGATATAGGGCGAATGGGCTATTGGGCTATAGGGCTATAGGGCTATTGGGCTGTAGGGCTATTGGGCTATAGGGCTATAGAGCTATTAGGGCTATAGGTCTGTAGGGCTACAGGGCTGTAGGGCTATAGAGCTATCGCGCTATAGGGCTATAGTGCGATAAGGCTCAAGGGCTATCAGGCTGTATGGCTATAGGGCTAAAGGCTACTAGGGCTATATGGGTATAGGGGTATAGGGCTATAGGGCTGTCAGGATATAGGGCTACAGGGCTATAGGGCTATAGGGCTATATGGCTATAGGGCTATAGGGTTATAGGGCTATAAGGAACCCGGGCACCCAGGCACCTGGGCAACCGGGCACCCGGGCACCCAGGCAACCAGGCACCCGAGCACCCGGGCACCGGGGCACCCGGGCACCCGGGCACCCGGGCACCCAGGCACTTGGGCACCTGGGCACCCGGGCACCCAGGCAACCGGGCACCCGGGCACCCGGGCACCCAGGCACTCAGGCACCTGGGCGGGCCGCGGAAATCGATGGCGAAGCTCACCAAACCATATGAATCCGCTAGGACTCCTACAGAGGCAAGCCCTGATTGAGGAATACTCATCATAAGAATAATGATATGATAATGCGAATAATAATGGGAAGAAAAACACGAACACGAATACTAATACGAATAAGAAAAAGACATACACATAAGAAGACTAAAACCAATCTGAATACTAAGGAACGAGCAAATTCATATTACGAATAAGGGTAGTAATTTGAATACTAACTACTCCGACGGTGGGACCCCGCATGATAATCTGTTCAACTTGCCTGGGGATCTCCTCCTGCCCCCTCCCTTCTCCCACCTACTCCTGCCTCCTCCTTCTCCTCCTGCCTGCTCCTCCTCCTGTCTCAACCCCTGCCTCCTCCTCCTCTTGCCTCCTCCACCATCTCCTCCTCCTTCTCCTTCTCCTTCTCCTTCTCCCTCTCCCTCCTCCTCCTCCTCCTCCTCCTCCTCCTCCTCTTTCTCCTTCTCCTCTTCCTCCTCCTCCTCCTCTCTCCCTCGTTCTTTTCTCCCTCTCCCTCCTCCGCCTCCTTCTCCTCGTCTCCATCTTCCTCCCTCTCCTCCTCCTCCTCCTCAGCCTCCTCCTCCTCCTCCTCCTCCTCCTCCTACCCTCCTCCTCCTCCTCCTCCTCCTCCACCTGCCTCCCCCGTAGGCCTCCTGCCTCCTCCTGGGGCCTCCTGGGGCCTCTTTGGGCCTCCTGGAGCCTTCTGGGCCTCCCAGGGCCTCCTGGGGCCTCCTAGTGCATTCCTCCTCCTCCTCCTCCTCCTCCTCATCGTCCTGTTCCCCCTCTGCCTCATCCTCCTCTTCCTCGTTCTCTTTCTCGTCCTGTATCCTCCTCCTCCTCCTCCTCCTCCTCCTCCTCCTCCTCCTCCTCCTCCTCCTCCTCTCCCTCCTCCTCTTCCTCGTGCGGAACACGACCTAGAGGAAACGCGCGACGTCCCAGCGGCTACGCGCTGGAGGACGACCCAGAGGAAGCGCGCGCCAGAGGACGACTCGTATAAAACACGTGAGGTGCGGGCCCCATGCGGAAGTGGCTCCCGCCCGAGACTTCCTTGCAATTCACCCACAGACGAGTCTCCCGCCTTCTACTTCCTCCATGCTCAGGCCTCAGGAGCCCCAAAATGACGTCGGTTACAGGAGGTCGATGACCCGCTTCGGCTCCGAACATGAAGTGCGGCCCCACAGGAAGGAGGCTCCCGCCTGAGACTTCCTCGCAATTCACTCACTGACGAGGCTCCCGCCTGATCCCGCCTGATACTGCCTCCATGCTCAGGCCTCAGGAACTCCGAAGTGACGACAGTTACAGGAGGCCGATGACCCGCTCCGGATTCGAACAGGAAGTGCGGGCCCCATAGTGACGCGGCTCCCGCCTGAGATTTCCTCGCACTTCACTCACAGTCGAGGCTGGCTGCCGCCTGCTACTTCGTCCATATTCAGGCCTCAGCGGCCCCAAAGTGACGACACTTACAGGAGGCCGATGGCCCGCCTCGGATTCGAACATAAGCGCGTGCTCAATAGGGAGGGGGCTCCCGCCTAAGACTTTCACATGATTCACTCACAAACGAGGCCCCCGCCCGAGACGACACACAGGCGATACATGATCATGATGATGTGAATGATGATGGTGATTGAAATGATGATGAGGCAGTGGTGATGATGGTGTGTGACTGATCGATTGCGTCATAGTGCGATTGTGTGTGGTGAGTGTGTGACTGATCATGATGGGGTGAATGGTTCAATGTGAGTGATTGATTGCGTAATAAAGTGATCGTGTGTGGTGAGTGTGTGGCTGAAGCTGATGGTGTGGATGATTGAGTGAATGACTGTGCGAAGGGAGAATAAACTGAAAATGTTATGATGATGCTGTTGCGGGAGTGGTTGGGCGAGTAAACGTGCGAAGGCAGAAGAGAGGGGGCTTGTTGACAGGACTGCGCCAGGTGCCCAGAGAAAACAAGAACCCCGAATAGTAGTAATAGTAACAATTGTAGAAATAGGAATAGTAATACCAATACTGATAATAGTAAGAGGAAGAGTCTTAATCATAGCAACAACCATAAGAACACGAATCATAATGATACTACCACGAATACCAATCAGACAAATATAAATTATAAAGATATTGATAGTAGTACCAAACAATAGTGATACTAAGAAGGTGGCTTCCGGCTCTCCTACGCCTCCGTCCGCGGCACCGCCCTCGCCGCTTTGGTGGAAGGCGTGTTGCCCGCGGCGGCCAGGCTCCTCCACGCGCAGGCTGTCGCCATGCAGCTCGAGGCCAGGCCTACATCGGGCGTGCCCTTCTACAGCAAGAATATTCGTGAATAGACAACAGCTAGTCTGGGGACGATTTTTCGTGGTTGTTTTATTTTTCTCCCGAAATCCGCACGTAGGAGGACATTCCCGACCTGAGGCCAAGCCCGTGCTGGGCTTTTCGGCCACGTGGAAGGTCAGGCTCGGCAGCCTGAGCTCTGCGACAGCGCCGCCGGCTGTTGCCGATCAGCGCGGCGCTGCTGTCCGAGGGGCCGTGTGGCACCACGCCCTCGTGAGCTTCTTCGGCTGTTGCGCGAGGCCTGCCACAGGCGGCACCGGCGTTGAAGAGGTGCACGCGCACGTGCCGTCGAGCTGCGGCCGCGCGCCAGAGGCATCGGGCGCCCTCTGCAGCCTTGCTGGGCCACGTTCGGACTGCCTCTCGGGGCCGAGCTCGGATCCGGCGCCCGAGCCAGAGTCGTCGGATGCGCTGAACTCCTGGCTGGACGAGCTGGAGCGCAAGGCCAAGGGCGCTGCGCGGCCCGCGGACCTGCTCATGAGGGCCGTGCCCACTGGCCGCGTCTGCGCCAGCTGGGAGGACGACGACTCCCTGTCGCAGGCGGAGGACTTCTGGCGCAGCAACGTTGGGGGCATTCGCCATTTCCAGTTGGCATCACCGGCCTCGCGTGCAACGCGATTCATATCTCATTCGTGGTTCGAGCCCGCGAATTGGAAGGAGATCATGGGCCTCAAGTGCAGCTATGCCGCTATGAAATGCACAGAACTGCAGTTAGCTGCCACAGAGATCGGAGCAGACTCTGCGTGCAATCTCGAAGATATAACTTTCTGGATCGACAAGTGCTGCATCCCTCAACAGCACTCGCTCAAGGAGGTCTGCATTACTATGATCGAGGAGTTTCTGGATCGCTGCGACGGAATGGTCGTACTCCTCACCTGGGAGTGCTTTCAGCGCCTGTGGTGCGTGTATGAGTGGGCCGCCTTCCTGGTGCGCCAGCCTCTGGATAACATCACCATCTGCATGGAGACGTTCTTGCGCCCGAGCTCCCGCCATTTGTACATCGAAGCTATTAGGAATCTGACGCTCGACAACTGCAAGTGCTCCCACGAGCCGGACCGCTGCCTGCTGAAGCAGAAGGTTGCGCAGTACTACACCTCCGAGGCCAACTTCGTAGAGCTGGCCCAGTGCAGTGCGATCGCGCTAATCGTCCGCACCGTCTGTAGGGGTGCCTCTCGCGGCGTACACTTCTGGGAGGAGGAGGTGGTGCCATACGTAAAACTGGCCAGGGAACTGAAGTTGGACCACCTGGCCGAGGCCCTCGAGTCCGCGGAGCCGTGGGAGTGGCGGATGCGCGCGATGGAGGCTGCCAGCATTAACACGAGCCAGGTGAGCAGCCGAGGTTGCATTGCGGAGGTGAAGGAGTGGGAGCCCCACTTCAATTGCTCAATCGACTGCTGGTTCACATATCAGATCGACCCTGTGCTGCAGCGCTCCAAAGCGGCCGCGGTGCGGCATGACTTTGCATTCGTCTCGCATCAGCACGACAGCCTGCCTAATCGAGTCACGAAGGAGCAGTCGAACGTCATCAACTACGGCACAAAGTCGCAGCAGGCGCTCGAGGAGCCAATCCTCTGAATTCTCCACCGACAGCATCTAAGCTCGAGCACCTCTCCGTGCTAAGCCTTCATTTGCTCCCACCGTGACGGTACGAAGCCCAAGCTGAGGTTCAGCTCCGAAGGCGACTGGCATCTATTTCTGAGCGGCGCCGGTGCGACATGTTTGGTGGTGCGTGTCAGGCGGGAAGTCCCCAGAATCTTTTCAGCACAAGGGGGTATCGGAACAGGAAGTTTCCCACCCAGAAGCTAGATCCTGGCACAGTCGGTGGGTCCAGCATCTTTGCTGTGCAGTCGTCAGTGTGCCGACCTTTCCGAGCAGGAGCTCACCCACTTCTTGGCATGCGACAGGTATGCAGCATGAGCATGAACGAATTCGATCTCGTAGTAAGCGAGGTCGCAGCATTGCTTGCCAAAGATAAGCAGGAGCCCGCTCGACACAAGGTTGCACGGCGCCTGCACAGGGCGCGCCTATGCGCACGCCGCTCCGAATGACTCTTGCCAACTTTACCCACAGTCACCTATTCGACGGCACCGTTGCCATGTTTGGCGTTTCAAGCTGTTCTCGATGGACAGGACTTTTTGTTTCTTACGGCGACGTCTCTCTGAGTATCTGGTTACACGAGAGCCGTTGGCGCCTGCCACCATTTCTGCTGCTCCGGCCCTGCCCGCTCCTCTGCGGCACTTGCTGTCTGGTCGTCGCCCTCTCGCCCATTCAGTCCGCCTAGCGAAAGGAGCGGTCTTTGAGTACTTCCGATCTGCCTCGGGTCGACTAGTCCCTGTAAGGAAGCTCCCCAGAGGCTCCTGGGACAGTGGAACGTGAGATACGTCCCAGTGACGGACCTCGCGTCTCGAAGTCGTCTTCAATCCTTGTGATGACTCCGAGACGGGGATGACTCTAAGACGGGGGTGACGCTGAGACGGGAATGATTCTGTTACGCAGTCTAATACTGTGTTCATGCCGCTTTACTCGTGAAGTGCAAGCGTCCATTTATGGTGAGTCGCGGTCTTCCCCTCCCTCTTCCACCTCGCCTCCGTTCAAACATAAACATTGCAGCGCGCAGCAAAGTACCCTGCCAATGGTCTTTCTGAGCCCCGTGGATGTCCACAGAGGAAAGGAGACGGCCAGGCGCGGCTGGCTGTCGGGGTTGCGTGGCCAGCGTCCGTGAGAACAGCCCCCCAGGTGACAGGATGAGCTCGAGATGTGGACGAGGTGCTTCGGGCCCTTTTGCAAACAGCGAATGTTGTAAATCTTCCGTAGACTTCCAACAAGGTACCCGACAGGCATCGGACTATTTGGTTGCCCGCGGGGTGTCCAGCGCAACCCGTTGTGCAACCTGCGACGCACTCACCGAGGCAACTGTGGCGCAGCAAGTGGCACACCCCCTGAGGCAACGGACGATTTGGTCGTCCACGGTGTCTGGCGGAACCTATATTGCAACATGTGGCACACCCACTGGAGCAATGGACGATCTCTTCGCCCGCGGGTGTCTGGTACAAGCCATGGCGCAAGCTGCAGCATACCCGATGAGGATGATTTGTTTGCCGGAGGGGTGTCTGGCGCAATTTGTGGCCCAACCTATTGCCGGTGCTGCTCAGGGTCTCGTGGCAAGGCAAAGTTTCGCGAGCCGTAGTTGAATCGAGGACTCGTAGCCATGGGGAACGCCCGAGTCTCTACGAAGGATGTCCCTGTTTCGCTGGCGGTTCCGCTGGCGTCCAGATGTGTGGCACGCGTTGCCCTTTGCTTTCTCGTTTCTTGTGACCACCCGCGTGATCAAATGCGACGCTACTGCTCTCAGCTTTCAGTCTCTCGAGGGTGAGCTCTTGATGGGCAGATCGTCCAGGTACTGGTGACCCTCGTCCGTAGCCATTTTGGCTCAGGGCAGCTGTGCCTCATCCACTTGAGCGCGCCGCTGATGGAGCCGAGCAGCGCCACCGTCGCTGGCGATGCCGCAGGCTCCCCGAAGCCCTCAGCGCGGCGCCGACGTGTGCTTATCGCTGGCGCTGGCGTGGCGGGGCTGCGGTGCGCAGAGGTGCTGCTCGAGAGCCTCGATGGCGCCGAGGGCCTCGATGGCGTCGAGGTGGTGATCCTGGAGGCGCGGGACCGCGTCGGAGGTCGCATCCTGAATACCGCCCATGGGCTGCCGGCGGGAGCGGCGTGGGTCCACGGCACGGAGGGGAACGAGGTCGCGGCCCGCCTGCGGAAGCTCGGCGTGCCCTTCCACCCGGTGGGGCTGGCGAACCCGTGGATGCACCCGCGGGCAGACATCATGGCCGTCTTCCTGCCCGCCCAGAAGCCCGGCGGGCCGCCGCGGCGGGCCACGCAGGCGCAGCTCGAGGGCTGCTTCGAGGCTCTGGCGGAAGGGGTGCGGGCTGCCGCGGTCGAGCCCGTCGCGGGCGAGAGCCTGCTGCTGGGGCTGCGGCGCCTGGCGGGGGGGGCTTCGGCCCCGCTGGCGGCGGCAGCAGAGCTCGTGTCGGGTGGCGCTGGTCTCCCCGACGAGGCCGCGGGCGACGGGGTGGCGATCATGGCGCTGGCGCTGCACCTGGTGGAGGCCTGGATGGGCGCGGACGTGGATCAGCTGGGTCTGGAGGAGCTGGGAGAGTACGGGCTTGAGGCGCGCTACTTCGGGGACTCTCCTGGGCCGCACTGCCTGCTGGGGCCTCCGGGCTACCAGGCGCTGGTGGACGACCTCCGCGCCGCCGTCGAAGCGCGGGGGGCCTCCATCGTCCTCGGCGAGCCGGTGCTCTCCGTCTCTGTCTCTGGGGAGGGAGGCGTGCGCGTCGCCTCGGGCCGCGGCCAGGTCTGGGAGGCCGACGCGTGTGTGCTCACGCTGCCGCTGCCCCTGCTCCGGGCCCTGCCCCTCGAGCCGCCGCTGCCAGAGCCCAAGCGCGCCGCGATGGAGGCCCTGGGCTTCGGCGCGTACCGCAAGGTGTTCCTGCACTTCGGCGACCTCCCGGCGGCCATCCCGGCGGAGCCGCTGCTCGCGCTGCCTCGGCCGAGGGCGGGGGCCGTTCGGGACCTGGGGCCGTGGCTGGTCCTCGACAATCTCGCGGCCTCGCTGGGCAGGCCCACCCTCGTGGCGGACGTCGTGGGCGGGCACGCCCAGGCGCTCGCTGGGGCGCCAGACAGCGAGGTAGTGGCTGCCGTGCAGGCCTATCTGGAGGGCTGCTTCGGCCCGTGCCCCTGCGAGCGGAGCGACGTCACGGGCTGGGAGGGGGACCCATGGTCGCTGGGCGCTTACAGCTTCTACGCGGCGGTTGGGGGCAACGTCAGGGGGCATAGGCGCATGGGGGATGCATCGACCCCTAGTCGCACATGCATCGCCGACAGGGGCCTGGTAGCCCCCACCCCGCTCGGGACCGTGCGGATCTGCTGTCCGGGGCCTGTCGCCGACCTGTCTCGGCGATGTATCGCCGAGTCCAGCTCGATGCTCCCCTGCCCCCTCGCTGGTGCTGCCCCGCAGGCGGGCGCCGCGCCCGACGCCATCGAGGCCCTGGCGGCCCCGAGCCACGGCGGGCGGCTGCTCATCGCGGGGGAGGGGGCGGACGAGGAGTTCCAGGGCTCCGTGCCGGCAGCGTACCTGTCGGGCGCCCGTGCGGCGGAGGCGGCACTGTCGGGTCTGCGCCGCGGTTGGCGATCGGCAGCCGCCTGAGGCAGGTCCTCGTCCTCGTCCTCGTCGTCGTCGTCGTCCCCCTCCTCCTTCTTCATTCCTTCTCCTTCTAGATAATTCCTCCGTGTCGCACCCCGAGGGCAGTCGGAAGGGCGGGTTGGGCGTTCTGCCTAAGGCATCCATGCCAGTGGTGATCCTCAAGCTCAGAAATTGGCAGGAGTTTCACACATGGAGGCCGGGTGGTTTTCAACATATGGATCTCGCTTTAGCGCCGCGCACAGTCGTCTTACTTGCACACCTGCACGTCGCGAGTTGAGGGCGGGTGGTATTCAAGATGTGGTTCTCGCTTCAGCGCCGGGCACATTCGCTGTAAATTTTTGCAAGAGTTTCAAGGATTGGGGGCGGGTGGTTTTCGACATGTGGCTCTCGTCGCAGCGCCGCGCACACTCCTTGTACACAATTGCAAGAGTTTCACGGATGGAGGGCGGGCCGTTTCCGAAATGTGGCTCTCGCCTCAACGCCGCGCACACTCCTTGTAAACAATTGCAAGAGTTCGCGGGTTGAGTGCGGGTGGTTTTCAACATGTGCCTCCCGCCTTGGCGCCGCGCACATGCTCTTTTCAAAGATGTAAGGATTGCACAGGCTCCCATGGTTAACGTACCAGAAATGGCGTTCGGGAAGGATTCAGGATTGTCAGGGAAAAACTGTTACGTTGTTCCGCGTTGTGAAGTCCCAGGAACGGTGTTCTGGCACGACTCATGGTCGTCAAGACGCAACAGTCAGGTTGATTCGTGGCGGTGGAGTGCCGAGAACGGTGTTTTGGCACGTTTCAGGATGTCCATATGGTTGTCTCTCGTTTCCCTCGGCGAAGTATCCTTGTAGGGGCCTATGAAGAGGGAGCCAGGGGGGAGGGTTTATTCCAACATCGTTGATGAATCTTGGGTTTGCACTGGTCCTCCTCCTCCTCCTCCTCCTCCTTCTCCTCCTCCTCCTCCTCCTCCTCCTCCCCCCGCCCCTCCCGTCCCTGAGGTTAGTATTACTTGTCTCTCGGTGCCGATCCACCGCTCGCCTGGGCAATGGTTGTCACGGGGAGATCCTCTCGTCAGCGTCCAGCTGTTTAGGGAGGCAGGCTTTGTCCGCCCAGGCCAGTGCTAGCAGCAAGTACAGCGGACTCGTGGCAACACCATTTTAGCCTAGCGGTGGTTATCCGCTTTCACCCTCCAAGAAACTTTCTCTCGGTGACGATCTGAAGAATTCCCTCAGATTCTGAGGGCCCGTCCCCAAGACTGTAGTCGCCTTGGGCTTGGTAGGTGTAGGGATAGGCTCGAAGATTGTCATATCGGGACCACAAAAAAAGTATTGGTGACCCCGGGAGCGTGGGTAGGGATGTATTTGGGCCCGCCACAGCGCAGCCTCTCTCTCTCATGGCGGCGGTAGAGATGGTCCCCGACCGTTGGACAGCCGACCATCCACTGCATCAGCATCCTGGACCCTATCCGACGACTCCAGAGGTTCGCCCCTCCTCCCCGCCGCGCGTGGGCCCCCCGTACGCGAAGAGGACTTCGAGACGAGCGCGTTTGCACGTCCGCTCCGAGCGAGCGAGGCCCCACTACTCGAGGGGGGGCACGGGCCGCGTGCCCCGAGCCGCGCTCGCTGCGGTGGCTTCGCTCGCGGATGCTTTCCGCTGCGGGTTCGCTGCAGGATCTTGCGCGCGAGACCGGAGCAGCAGATCCCCTTCCTCCCTCCCCCGCTGCGTTCCCCGCGTGGTGCGCTTTGCTCCTGCGTGTTCCTCTTACCTGCGAGCGGTGCTGACGTAGCGTAGGCGTTCCGAGGCAGCGATTTTCCCCGCGCGCTGGAAGCATATGATCCAGGTGCTCGCTCCGTGATCCGAAGGCTGCGGAAGGTCATGTAGAGCAGACGCGGGGGGGGAACAAAAAAAAATCAAGGGTGTCGGGCTGCGGCGATCTCGTGGTTGCCGTCCTCGTCGTCGACCTCGTCGTCTTCCCCGTTTGCAGCGGCCTGGCTGGAGCCGGAGGCTGGCCAGGCATGTCGCCTGTGGCGGCAGGGTAGCGGAGGGGATCAACATTGGCAAGGCGGGGTATGGGGAACTCGGTGGAGAGGAAACGACGAGGAGTCCAGCCAGGGGCATGCCCAAATGGTGGAAGTGCTGGGATTGAGGCAGCGGAGTGGCATGAGGGCGGGCAGGATGGAGGCAAGTCAAGGACAAGAGGTGCACGGCAGAGGCTGGCTTGAGGCAGAGCTATGAGCTCTTCGCGTGTCTCCACCAGCATATCCAGAGACCAGGGTATCATTTACTATTTGCGTAGTCTTACGTTTGATGGCCTTGTCCGATGTCGGTCTGATGTCGTCTGGGTGCCTGGCCGAATCTGACATGATCGGGCGTTGTGTCATGTGTGGTGGCGTGTTCTTGCTGATTTTCTTTGATGCGCGACTTGGTTCCATCGGATTGTGGACATCTGGGAGCGGAGAGTTGTCAATCCAAAGGGGTCTGTCTTTTTCACGTGGCCCTTTCTCCAGCTTCCTTCCCCTGCTTTCTTTCCCGCTCTTCATCGGGCTCCGTTCCCCCGCCATGGAGGGCTTTATCCTCCCCTTTTGCTCCCGCCTCCCCTTCCTCGCTCTGCTCCCTTCCTGCCTCTTCTCTCCCATCTGTCAGCTCCCCTATGCCACCTGTGTGTCCGCAGTCCATCGGGAGGGGGAGGGTCCGACCTGCGGACACATGGGTAGCTTGCTCTGATCTGGTCTGATCCGTTCTGGCCCATCCCCGTTTTAGTTTCCTGCGTTCGTGAGCGAGCCACCTCGGGGGCCTCCTTGGTGCGTCTTCGGGCGGCCTCCCGGGCCATCCTGGGAGCTCATATCGGGAACAGGGAGGTGGGGTGTTGCAAGCAGCAGCTGGTCTTTTTGGAGGTCATCTTGGAGAGCAAAAGGGCCAACTGCAATCACCGCCCGTCTTCGTGGTGCTCTTCATCCACCGCCCCCCCCAGGAGGAGGAGGAGGAGGAGGAGGAGGAGGAGGAGGAGGAGGAGGAGGAGGAGGAGGAGGAGGGAGGAGGAGGAGGAGGAGGAGGTGGAGGAGGAGGAGGAGAAGGAGGAGGAGGGGGGACGCGCTCGTGGGAACATCCGTGCGAGTGCCGGCCGCCGCCGGCTTTGTGGGTCTGCGCACGCGCGAGGCACGTTGTCGCGCTCCTCGTTCCTCCCCTCTCCTTCTTCCTCCCCTCCGTCCTCCTCCTCCTCCTCTTCCTCCCGAGCCTCGAGCACTCCTCCTCCTCCTCCTCCTCCTCCTCCTCCTCCTCGCCTGCCCGTCGAGGTGTGCGGCAGTCAAGGAACTGCTGCCCTCTCTGGATGAGGATGGCCTTCCCCCCCACTCCACGCCGTGCTCCTCCTCCTCCTCGTCGAAGGGGCGTGCCAGCTTGCGTGGCGATTCACCAGCTCCCTGAAGAAGAGAGAGAGCGCTTCCTTCTGCACGAAGCTGGGGCCTCATTCCGACTTCGATGCATGCCGAAGCAATTGTCCTGCTCGTGTCCCGTTGGCGGCGTTCGGACCTGCAGGCCTGCAGCTCTGTGCGCGCCCGCAGGCCTGCGCCCTCCTTTCCTCATGTTCACCCTTGTCTTCGTCCTCGTCCCCACCGTCATCACCATCATCACGGTCTTCACCGTCGGCGTCGTCGTTTTCATTCTCACCGTCATCATTGGACTTGCCACATCACCGTCATCATCGTAATCATCTTCGCCGTCTCCTTTGTTCGCAGTGTACGCATTACCTCACCGCCATCATCTCCCTTCAACTTTATTATTATCACACGTCACCGTTACCACCATCACCTCACCATCAACATCATTATCATCATGTAAAACTCAAGTGGTTGCCCCCCCGCACTCCCTCACCATCATCCATCCCATCAGCCATTCCATCATTGGCACAATCATCAAATTCATCACTATGCTGTTTCCAAGACGTTCAGACCTGCATAAATGCAGGTCCGAGGCACTGTCCGCGAAAAGGTCCGTTCAGGACAATTGGTTTGTTATGCATCGTACGATTTCCGGAGCACGAAAATCGGAGGCTCGAGTGGCGACCACGCTCGCAGGACAAACCCACTGTCATGATCGGGACAGACACACACGTTGCCCTCTTCTGCACGGTGAGGCGTAGCGTGTTTGCTCGCCTATTGCAGCTTGGGCCTCGGGTGAGTCTGGGTTTGCTTGGTGTATTTTGCAACCACCATTGCTCCCATCTGATTTTGAGCGTTGCGATGGCAAAGTTGGCTGGCAGCATTGTGTCAAATTGTTCTTGCGCATCTGCGTCTTCGGTCTTGGGGGCAACAGTAAGAGTCCTAGTAGTTTGCATCTCCGCCGAAATCGCAACTGTGTGCATGGACAACAGGGCGGGCGAACTCCTCCAATCAGCGCTTGGCGGCGACATTGGTGTGCCCGTCTGGCCGAAGATGGCCGAAGACGACGAGGCGACATGTGACGAGAGACTGTACGAGACCAGACGCAGCGAGATGAGATCAAACGACACCAGACATGGTTCATTTCTAATTCTTCGAAAGTTCTTTGGTTTTTGTGGGTGCCAAGATCCTTTCGTTTTTACTTGTTCTATCCTGGGCCTCGTCCTGGCCACTAGGGGGCCAGGAACATTTAGAGACGAACATACTTAGAAAGGAACACGATCAGAAATGAACGACGTGTAAACAAGACCGAACCCGC